CCGTCAACAAGCCTATTTGTGGGAAGGGGGTAGGGGGTGCTGAAAAAACGTACGTAAAAATATACTGATGCTGGACATTAACGAGTAAAAAAGTTGAAAACGTTGATATAGTACTATATAGTTTCACTGTGATGCATTTATGATGCAAACTCGGATTAAGGGGGAGAGGGAAACCCATTAAGTCCATCATATTTGTAGGTAGGTATACAGGGTTTTCTACAGAATTATTCTTATGCTAATTACTCTGTCAATATTTATTTTTTTTTACATTTTTTTTTTTACAATCGGATTTTGTGTGAACGGGACACATATAATATAGTAAACAATTAAATTTTTATTTCCATCCCTTAATCACTGGAAAAAATAGCTTTATTTTTTTCATTTTTTTTTAGCATTTGCAAAATAGTTATAGCCGACTTCTTATTGAAAAATTAACTTAAACAGCTGTTACAATCGCAACAGGTATATAAGTTTTATATAATTGAACATAGTTATTGTGTACCTAGTTTAAAATTCATTTTTATCGCATTAGTTTATATGTGTCAATAGTATTTTTAAAATGCTACCAAAAAAATGAAAAAAAAAAATGGTTTCCATTTCTCAATCCACAGTCTTCATTGACCTTTCATTATTGATGATTATTTGTAATCTCAGTAAAATTCATAAATTATCAACAATTTTACTACAGCCCTTGTATCTCTTCCCCAGCGTTTATAAGGGATTAAAGCCATTGGTATTATTTTATTATTTAAATTTTTTCTAAATTTGTATACCGTGCTCTAAATTGACAATTGTTGGTAAGGATGTCGAGAAAAATGTCGTTTTTATGATAATTTTTACTGTCGGACTATAAGGAGAGCACCCAAAAAGAAATTATTTTGCCCGTTTACACTTCTTGCATGGAGTATAACAATATTTTGTCCATTTATATTGCTACGTTTTTTTCCTTAATTATGTGAGTTTTTTTTTCAAGATTAGAGCGAAACGAGCTCTCTAATTTTTGTTTTTAATTGTAAATTACTTTTTCACCAGAAATCTTGTTCTGATGATCACCGTATCGTATTTACCGGGGTTCTTTTTAGTTGCAAATATTTACTTGTTGATACCAATGAGCATGTGATTTTTGATCTTTCTTTGTTTTTTATTTATAACAGCAAGGAAAGACCCGTGGAATAACGTGAGACAACCGAAACAATAGGTGCGCAATAATGATTTCCAAAAAAAACAGATTCCAAAAGAACATTGATTAGGTATAAAAAAAAAAAAAAAAAAATGAGTAAATTAATCTTACCCTAAAGGAGAAAATGACTTCACCGTTAATATTAACGACTTTTTACAAAATATATTAAAATATATTATGTTTGTACGGTGTTATTCTCAAACGCATGTGTTTTATCCTATTACTTATACGGCAGTATATAATTATATAGATGTTTGAATTGAATTTCCACCGAAAGTTGTGCGATTTTCAAGAAACCGTAGCGGAGAATAAATTTTTAATCACAATTGCGCATCATGAGATTATAAATTTACGTGAAATTGTTTATCATTCGTCCGTTTAGGTGAATGCGCGCGGCCGCTGAATATTTTATCGCGGCAGTGAAATTATTATATCCTCGGTCCACAGATTTATAAAACGTAAAATTATTATATTATAGCGTTTCCACAGAGTTTACGAAATATAGCACTACCTATCAGCCGGGCAAATAAAATTATTATTATTTCGTATTCCGTACACGTGTAGGTACATTAATTTTCACCGTTATCTGCGCTAATAAAACCCATCGACGCGAACGTACTTTATAGGGTTGAAAAATTATTAAACGTCTGTACGCGTCGTACCTGCACTGCGGTTTAATTAGATATTTTACTATTAAGTGTTATAAATTATTACTGATTAGGTTAATGTAACGGAAAAATGTTGCTGTCACGTAAACGCTCATTGTTATAATTATTTTACCATATTATAACATATATATTGTTGAATTAGCAAACACTATTAACTGAACTCCGTTCAGAATCGTTTTTTTTTTTTTTTTTGTTAACAATGGTTTATCGTTACTTACAGATATACATTAAATTTTCGTCTGTATCGTACTTTCCCAATTGCTCACCTACAACAGTGGCTACACCTATGCGTGAATACATGTCCGTCCTTTTTTTGCAATTATTTTTTACATTACTACAGAGACCTGCAATTTGTACAGAATATTTCTGTTAGTTTTTCTAAATGTTGTCCAAATAAGAGATTTTCAGCTACTTTTATATGTATTTAAATATGCGCAGATATTTATTTATGATTTAGTTTAATAAATATACTAAAGTAAGTCGAAAAAAAAATTAACGTTTGAACTTAAGTAAAACGAAATTAAAAATATATTAATTTTATACATTCGTTAGATCCAATTCAGAATGTTGTTTGTATATTTTGTCAAATCGTATTCATACAAAGATACAAATAGGAATATTGAAAAAAAAATAAATACTTTGTTCATATATTTAAACCATATCAACTATATACTATATCAAACAAATTTCAGAAAATTTGATTAAAATTTAGGTTAACTGATCTAAACCGTAGTTTTTGTATTATCAATGTTATTATTATTTTTAATTTAAGGAATGAAAGTGGAATACTATTGTTATTACACGTCAAATTGTTACGAATTAAATATGTATAACCGTTTCAAAGAGGTGTCTCGTAATAAAAGCACGCGTGTCAATGTAAAATATTTTAATTGTTTTAAAATTTGTGTTTAAAAATAAAACGTTATTGAAAACGAGGTTTCCTTACCTTTAATTTTTCTCCCGCAAATTTAACGAAAACGTGAAATTACGGACATTTTACAATACACGATACTTTTTAATCATCTAATTTCTTTTTTAACATTTTAAAAAGAGTGAACGAATGTATTACGTACATCACACTAAACACACATATAACTTATTATATATTATAATACATTGTGCGCCGAAGACGGGCGTTTTATTTAAAATGAAGTTGAAAACATACGTACACCGAGAGATTTAATGGTTTTTAAATAATGCACAATAGAGTTAAAAATTAAAAATAAAGTTTCGAAAAAAAAGTTTAAGTACTTACGTGGATATATTTTTGTTTACTTTTATACTCGTATTATGAAAAGCACTCGGGTTTTTTTTTCAATTTTTTTTTTTTTGTAACTTGCTGGCGGCGCTGTCGAAGTGTTCGTGCATATAATTATGAAATGTCCATCATAATATAATAATGTTCATAGATATAAATGTGTTATCTTCAATATTATTTAATCTAGCTTTAGAAAAGTAGTTAGAGAGATGCAAAAAAAAACAATGGGTATAGATATAAACCAGCGAAAAATTCAAATCCTAGGTTTTGCTGATGATCCCAACATCGTAGGCAATACCAGAAATGATATAGATATAACATTGAAAGTTTCCAAAAATCAGCAGATAAAATAGAACTAAAAATAGATGTAAAAAATCAAAGATCGTGGAGCTATTAGATAAGAAGAAAAAGAAGAAAATATAAGTATAGGTTTTTTTTTTTCGAATCGTAATAAAAATTTGATTTCACATGTTATTTTATACTCGGTATAGTGATAAATAAATAAAATATATATGCTCAAAACGAGATTTCTGTACGGAAACACTGCGTTTTCTCGTCCGTATATGATCTAAAGTAACTGATAGTTATTAAAGAATTTCACCTGTTCGGACTTTCGTACATTTTTTTTTTCACCACTTTCACGAACCATTTTCACAATATTTCCTATTGCAGAAAACGAAAGGATGGAGTTATAAGCGTTTTAAGTTAAAAATGTTGACTTTTCTAGAAACACGTTAACTCTTATAATGCCCGATTGGATAGATGAGATATTTTCAAGTAAAACGTGTATCATACGGAATTGTTAGAAATCGACGATATTCCATGGAGTATAATGACGAATAAATTTAATATTGCACGTATGGTTTAAAATAAGGGTGTGAATTAAACTTTAAAAAAATGTCTCAACATATTTTTGGCAACCGTTGAAATACCCGTTGCCTTTAGACCGGGTGATTCTCCCAGGCACGTGTTTATTAGAATTACTTACTCTCCGTGCTCGTTTGAAAATTGTTACTTTATATACGCCACACATGAGCTCTAAAATATCGTAAATAACTTTTGATTAAAAAAAAACGCGTAAAGTTTAACGATTCGGGATGGAGGGTGTGTACGTTTAGATTAAATGAATCTGTTTGATGGTAGGGTTTGAGATTGAAGAAGAAATAATAAAATACCTAGTAAAAAGAAATTACTGGAAGTAAAAATTTTCCCGCCAGTGTCTCGGGTATTTTAATTTTAAAACCGTGCCGAACTTCCGTAGATTTCATGTCAGTGTTTAAACCGGCACCGTTTGAAACGCACATATAAATGCACAAAACAGTTTTTGGAATTGGCCATTCATTTCGAACTGTCATTGGCCTGTCTAGTTGTGGTTCCCCGGAAATCGCCTAATTGGTCTTTGTTCTAAACAAACCGCAATATTGTAGTAGAAATTACGGTTTACGATGATACGGTTACAGCACAGCCTATACCTATTTGTTCACGGTATTGTTAGTGATGGCAAAAGTTCTATTTCCAACTTATTATCTACGTATTATTTACCATCTTATACCACAGAGCTTCTTATAATAAGTGAAGATTATTTGATACTATTATTATTATAGATCAAACTATTTAGATATTGACATGAATTGGTTTTTAAATCGAGTAGAGTGTTTATTTGTTCGAGTACTCGACAATTTTCCAGTGTTTGAACCTGCTCGAGTACTCGAATATTACAGGTACAACTGTCTGGTAGACAAAACTTGAGTAATCAAAAGACGATGAACTAACCGGTTTCAGTTCGAACTCAGAATAAAAGAAAAAGTATTGTGACTACACAAAAACAGAACAAGAATATACACTAAAAGATCTTTTATTAAAAATAACCATAAAAGTATGCGAATTCCTTTAGTCTGTGTACTTAAACATACTCAAATCAAAGAATCTGCCACACTTACTTCGCCTCGTTTTGGTGGCCTTAAATATAATTAAAATCTTATTGCCTCAGCATATTTGCTTCACTGGCCTATTTTATAATATTAGTGACTAAACGCATAAACAATGTTTTTATAACTGTGTTTGCATATACAACAGTATTGCAGGTTGCCAAGGGAAATGGAAAAACAATAAACATAAATATCGTAATCATGCTAAAAACTAAACAATAATAATTTTTATTTGTAAATTCCACCAAAGCATGGTATTCTTATTAAACATATTTTTTATACATTCTTTTTTTTTTTTTTTTAACTGAAATATTTGAATTACTCGTAATTACGGGTACAAAAAAAAAAAAAAACAAATTGGAGTTGGATGAGTAATTGATTGGAGTGTCCACCCAACGCTTATAATTTTTAAAATCACACTATTTGCCATTTAAATGTAATATATTTATTTATAGTTTGTTTTATTGGTTATTTAGGCCTAACGCAGTTTTATTTTTGTAAGACCTTCAACCTTCTCAATATGCCATTCAATCTATCTAAATTAACGTTGTTCTCCTGCCGGAAGTTTTTTATTTAGTTTATTATTATGAACTCGTTTTAGTAACTCTCCCTATATTTGAACAACTTCTTTGATTTTGCAATAATCTTATAAGTATGGTTCATAATATAACCTGGCTAAATTTACACCTTTAACATTTACACAATATTAGTCAATAAAGAAAATACTAGTTTTGGTTACAATAAAATTGAATTGTAATCATAATAAGTTCTTTATAAGACGATAAATTATAATAATTCAGTAGATTTAGCTGTTACAAAAAATACGTTTTTATGGATAAATTCACCGAAAACTTTATAACTACCCATCCTCTAAGCGACTTGTCGATAACAACCGTAGCAGAAACATATAGCTATTTTGTAACTACGACAACAAAACTAAACTGTTCTAATCCATATTCGTTGTATAATTTACCGTGAAAATCGATCTAAGAAACGCAAAAAAAAAGGAACACAATATTTTTTGATCCATTTTTCGATTCTTTGTTGTGGGTAAAGAATTTTGTTTAAACGCCGCAGTCGTTGTTGTCGGTAAAACGTCGTGGTATACCTCTAAAACTTGTAATGAACAGACTGTTTATTAGTTTAACAATTTACAATTTAGAAGCAATAAAACGCAGGAATGGGGAAGTCAGAGAGTGTATGTGAAGGATAGCTCTAGTGCAGAGAGTATTTCGTACGTGTGAGGCGAAGAAGAGAGAGATAGAGAGAGCGCCGCCATTGTAAGAATATATACCAGCACATATAAGTAAACTTTAAATTTCTACAACAAGTTAACCGTTAGGTATTATGTGAAGTTCGGCGTCATTAAGTTGTAAACTTATTAAAATACATAATACCTATCTATATATCTTACATGCAGAGAAAATGTAATAATATATTATGTAATGTTCGTCCCTATCAAAATCCGTAACAATACTTTCCGCGTTAAAAGCGCCGCGCATTACACTGTGAGTTCGTATAGACACCGCATCAATTTAGTATTTAATAGTGTACGCTATTTATGTTAACTAGCATATTTTGGAGTAATTCGGTAATTCATATTCGGTAGTATGGTAATTTGTGAAGAACTTAAAAGTTATAATTACACGGACAAAACGTTATGGAAGAAACGAACCTGTAAATATAAATAACAACATTAACGTTTGGCATTTTTTCCTATAAGATAAATAACAATTTTTACGGATCTAAAAAAAAAAACCATGTATTTCACGTAAATCGAAAAATACCTATGGTATTTGTGCGAAATTTTGATGATTTTTTTTATTATTAATTACTTCAAACGTTTAATAATACTTAACATAACCTAACATACTTCGCACGTAGTTGAAGCCAATGATGTAGGTGAGAAGTTGGGAAAGTATGATACAGACGAGAATTTAATGTATATCTGTAAGCAACTATAAATCATTCACGAGAAAATGATTCTGAGCGAAGTTTAGTTGACAGTGTTGGTTTTTCAACAATATGTATGTGTCATATTATGGTCAAATAATTACAACAATGTGCGTTTCAAATGGAAAATGATTGTTTAAAACAGATTTGAAATAATAAAAACTGAATAATAACAAAAAATAAATTAAACCATTTGCCAATAAAAATCTTTTTTTAATCTTTCAATCTTTTTAACCTAAATAACCATGTTTTCATTATTATCTCGAATATAAATGAGAACTTCAAAAATTGACCTCTTTAATGTACCACCCAAAGAACATTTCCTTGAAAAAAAGGTACTATACTAGATAATCGGAATAAGCACTCTGGTAGAAAAATTGTTCACACAAAAATAAAATAAAAAAATATCTTAGAAACCCAATACATTAATCGCTAAACTCAGAATCTAAAATTACAATTATTAATAACCTAATAGGTATTTATAATAAACACACATACCAAAACTAAAATGTATTTTTAAATAATGTTTTTCGACAAACTTTCATCTAAAGACTTTAGTAATAATATTTATAAATTAAATGTACCGGAAATAAATTCTTCAACAAAAACACCGCCGAACCGTATTACTCGAACAAACCGACGACAAAATAACAAGAAGAAAGAAATTATCATCAATCGTGATTTATCTGCTAAACGTTTACGAACAATATTCTAACAAAGTGAGATCGATGTTGAAATCGTCCGCGATCTACACCGGCCGATCACGATTGACCGTTTGAACGCCTCCCCCCCCCCCCCACAATATACGGCGTGTGTCTAAGACGCGTAGTAAAAGAAAAAAATAAATTATTTTCCGCCGGCATTTGCCTAGGAAACATAATAGGCGCCTAAAAACTTGGCGAAACTTTCGTAAAACGGCGCGCGAGATTAAAATAATATTACCGTTTAAAGTAATTAAAACAATTTACGCCGAGGTATAAAATCCATATAATATTTCACGCCGCGTCCCCGCTTTCGTAATATATGTATTATTATTATTATTATTAAAATATCGTGACGGTTGATTCGGACTTTGACGCGGCGTTTCCCGCGAGAAACGACGGACAGACAGAGAGAGATTAATGAAATGCATTAATTACGCCCAATTAAAAACAGAAGTCACTATAATAATAATAATGATAGTAATATCGGCGTTGTTGTACGCGCTGTGCCGCGGACGGACGGCGTCGACGCGGTCGCGTTGTTTTCCGTTTGTTGTCCGACAATATAAAATATCATTGGCCGTCCGTCACGGTGCCGTAATATTTTTCGCGGTGTTGTCCGAAACGTTTAAGTGTTCCCGGTCGTCTGCACGCGTATACACGCGAAATTTAAATTATAATTATTACGGCGTAATGTCATTATTGGTACGGGTAAAGCGCGGGGGGGGGAGCCGCGCACGAGTTACGTTCCGCGGCAACGATCCCTCCCGTACATGGCGTCTCGGGTTTGTTTTCGCGCGATACCAGTTGCGTCCCCGATTTATTTATTTTCGTTTGTTTTCCTATTTTCCATATATCGGTCGCACACCGTAAACCATGAAAATCCGAACAATTACACTCCCCTTTCCGTTTTTACATAGTCTCAAGGCCTACTTACGGACGGGTCGAACAAATTGATTTGCTATATGAATGTCGCGTATTGCGATATACGACACTGACATCCAGTATCGGGTGTCCATAGATACCCGTTTTAAACTATCCAGCCCGTAGAGGCCTGAAGATCCGAGTCGCATTTCATCTCCCAGGTTTTCGAAAATATATAAAAGATCGAATTTTTTTTATACAAAAATGAGAGGCACTGTTGGGAATTTTCGAAAAATGTTTCTAACAGGTACCTAAATGAAAATCACACATTTTTTGTACCCATTTAGTATCTCAGATTTAAGCATATAAAATGTAAGTACTAAAAACAACCATTGCCATGCTAGTTATCGTCTGACGTTTGACGTTCTTTAATAATATTCTTTCACGTTCGTCAAAACTGCTTATTACATTCCATACTCCATGCAATGTTAAAAATTGTTTTTTAACGAAACCGAAGTAATAAATTAATAATCCTTCCATACTCATTCTCAATTTTAGCTGTTAAAATTAATAAACGGTAAATCCGATATTAGTGTTATACAAATTAATATTATTAGAACATATTCTATATTATAATGTATGTTTAAAATAAAGTCACCTATTTAAATATCAAAAATATATATCTGATTATTTAAAGTTTAAGGATAAGGGTTAAAATTATAAAGGTGTCCTAGGATAATGGAGTCGAGTAAAGCCACTGTTATAGATAATTTGATGTATTCAACTGTGAGCAACGATAATCCATTGATAACGAAAAATCGATTCTGAGCACACTTCAGTTGATAGTGATGCTTTGTCAACAATATATATATCATAATATGATGAAATAATTAAATAGTCATTATTATTTTACTTTAATCATATTTATTTAATGGTGTACCAATTTTCCCGTTTTCCTTACGTTTTTCCCGGTTTTCCTATGTTTTTTCGCAGTTTTTCACATTTGCTGGAAAACTCCTAAGAAAATCGACATATTATATTTTTAAAGTACCTTTCAAGTCAGATTTTCTTTCAGAGAAAGTGCTAACGTTGTAAATCGGTGCTAAGTTGCTGATTGAAAACTTGTTCATTGAAAAAAAGAAGGCAATCATAATTTCTACCAATACCTACATTTCGTACATTTTTCCGTTTACCCTACATTTTTTTTTCAGTTTTTCATATTTTTTGAGAAAACTTTCGAAAAATTAAAAAATTACCTCTCTAAAGTATCCTACACTGATTTACTTTAAGAAAATGTGCTACACTTAAAAATCGGAGCATGGACCCCAGAAAAGTTGCGCACAGAAAAAAAAAACACTTTCTAGGATAATGAGAACATGTGCAACCAATGTTAGATAATTTAATGTATACCTGTAAGCAACAATAAACCACTGCTTAAAAAAAACGTTTCTGAGTGGAGTTCAGTTGATAGTGATGCATTGTTATTTATATGTCATTTTATAGTATAATAATTAAATAGGCTTTATATATTTTCTTTAATACTATATGTTTAATGTTATACCGATTTTCCCAGTTTTTTTACGTGTTTACAGGGTTTCCCATGTTTTATTCCGGTTTTATCCCTAGGAAATATCGGAAAATGACCTCTTTTA